CTGATCAGTGCTGCCTAGTTTGACAGTTTGACTGCAGTTCATGAGCAGTGATTGACATGACTGGCAGCTGCTAGAGACTACGCGGCTCTGATTGGCTGTTTTTGTTCAAACATGGTGGATTCTAGCCAATGCCATTAGAAGCACTATATGGATTAGGACTGATTTTAAAATCTTAATGATTACTTTTAGGGCTCTTCATGGTCTGGCTTCAGATTACATTTCAGACCTTTTAATCCCTTATGAACCTTCTCGTAGTTTGAGATCCTTGGGCAGAGGTCTTTTGTTTGTTCCAGAGTCCAGACTGAAGGATAAAAGGGACAAAGCTTTTGAAATCAGGGACCTGCCCTAGGATACCTCGGGGGCTACCAGACAGATCAGGCTGTCTGAGTCACTATCTTCGTTTAAGTCTCTCCTAAAAATGTACTTCTATAGGAAAGCATGTCCTGGTTTTATTTGAGCTGTCTATTTTACTGCCATCTTATTAACTTTAATTCTCGTTTATTATCTTGATTTAAATCCTTGCCTTCTTTTATTTTATCTTTCACGTTGGTGACATTTTCTGACATTTCAATTTGTTTCATTCTCCTTGTGTTTAAAATGTGTTTAGTTTTATTGCAAAGCACTTTGTAACTGTGTTTTGAAGGGTGCGATATAAATAAGGTTTATTCTGTGTAGTTAAAACAGTTTGTATAAAGGTTGGCTGATCAGATTTCTGATAGATCCGATAGGCTTGTATCAATTCTCGTCCAGTACAATGTTGCAGTATAAGCAACCATCTATACTCCTCTCATTACAATCCCCTCCTGTCACACATCTTTAATGGTCGCGTTCTGCTATAGGCTACAGGAACAGCTGTTAGACCAATAAAATTTCACCTCTGTCTCTCCATTCAAATCTGTTTTTCTCTCACCCTGATGGCCTGACACTTTACACTGTTGAGTCATCTGTCGACACAGTATTCCCCACCCTAATATCCCCTTTCTTTCTGGATAAACAACCCCATCAACTCCTTACAGATACTGGACATTACTATGGGACAGACAAAACTTATAACTACATTACCACTGTAATGATACTAAAGCTTACAACAATAACTTTAAACTATTATGTCAGCATCGTTTTTTTATGGACATTTGATTACTGTTGTTTGTTGTGTTGAACAGCAGAGGATAATGACACTGACCGTCTCTATTAAAGCAAAACAAGAGTGAAGGCGCCAGTATGCTCCATCAGAACTGCTTGTCAGACAGCCAAATAACGCTTTCATCTTTTCATAGCCTACACAAACTTACACTGTATGCTACTGTGATGTCCATTCCTTATGTGCCCACAGTAAACAAGCAACTGCTTATGTTACTGTTTTATGATACTGCCTTACTCTGTTTGTAATCTATACATGCCAAGAATCCCACCATAATCATAATTTTTCTCTCGCTCTCATCAAATGCAGCTCTTAAATTACTCAGGTCTTAATTGGCTGACAGCACCCGTACAAACCCATAAACTCTCCTCAATAAATGTCATTGCTGTAATTCAACAAAGATGGCTGACTTTTTGTTTTTGCCGGATAAAGCAACATTAAAGCAACTGAACCTGACATGAAAAATATCACAACAGTCAAGATATCACAAAGATCAGGGTGATTTGTGTATCAGCCACAGAGTTACCCTGACCCGAAGAGAGTCTGCTTGCAGTTCGGCTGAGGTGGGTTTATAAGGGTGGGCGCAAAACAGATGGATTTAATTTGATTACATTTCAGATGCTGATAGCTGAAAGTAATGCATTTATTCTTTTTACATATCTGTGCTTACTCCTGCTTAAGTTCAAACACAGAGGCTGAGCATTTCCCACACGCAATGATCTGGCAACCAAATCACCAGAAAAATGTTGGCATTGTACATTTCTGCAAAGCACAGATGTGTTACATTTGTACATTATTATGTTGTGGATTTGATGAAACTTGTTTCAACAATGCTGTGGTTAAAGAATGGTTAGGTTTAGGCACAAAAATCACTTGGTTATGGTTAGGAAGAGATCATGTTTTGGCTTTATCCTGACTGGAAAAGCAGCAATGTCTTGGTAAAAAGCAACCACTTTTTGTGCCTAAAAGCCGCTGGAAACACCACCACAGGTCACTACAAAACACCCATGTCTGGTGCCTAAAAAGCTGCTTGGTGTCATGCCAACCACCATCCCCTCCACCTCCAGATGAAAAAGTCAGCTCATACACTACATCACTTTAAAAACATTGATATGATACATATGAAACATACAAATGTAACATGGTTTGCAAAAACGTAAAATTCAAACAGAGACAAAGCTGGACTTTTAGAGTAACTCAATTAACAAACAAGACTAAGAGCCTACAGCAGTGATACTCAATGAGTGGCCAGCGGGCCAAATCTGGCCCATGACAGGGTCTCCCAACCATTTTTTAATTCACAATGAAAATAAGTTGATTCACAATGGGATTTTTTTTACTGTTAAAAGGGAAATTTCAGTTTATTTCAACCTGTCTCCTATCGTCCTAAATTTGTTTCAAGTGACCACTGATATTTATAGATTTATAGATTTCAGGCACGGAATGAGATCGCTGCTTGTTCTCGTGATATTTTGGCCGTGCTTTGGAAAGCAGAGCTAAATGGTAAACAAACATGGCAGCACACCGGTAAGGTAAGACAACACATTTACATGTCGTTTTCTATATGTTCTCTGACATTTTTCCTAACGATATGAGGCGGTCTTTGTGGGAAAAAAAGCTTGTTTAGTGGACTAACTTTGCACTTAAAGTATGCCCGTTCACTTACATTTTAACAGGTCTGACGCTACTATGCGCCCCAGCTGTATCTAGGCCAACGGCTAACATGCTAACTATTATTTTTATGTCACTAGTCACTTGAAACAAATTTAGGACGATAGGAGACAGGTTGAAATAAACCGAAATTTCCCTTTAAAGTAAATGAGATGCTAGGATGCATAAAAAAGCACCAATATAGGGCTTGATTATCATAAAAGTGCCAGGGAAGGATCCCCCAGACCCCCCGACAGAGGTCCAGGCTAAGCCCCAAAGGTCCTCATATCACTGAAATGTTTCTACACACTCCTGAACTGTGTGTGGCTTTTGCAACTGGCCCCTGGCCTCCTGTCATTTTGCAAAAGTGGCCCCCAGGCAGATCAACTTAAGTATCCCTGGCCTTCAGCTCTGTGAGGCTGTACACTGCTCACATCAGCATGCTAACATGCTCACAACATGTTAAGGAAGTATCACAAAGTACAGCTGAGACTGATGGGAATGTCACCTGATAACCTGATGATGGCACTAAATTAAAAGTCAGGGGATGCATCAGATTTTAAAATTCATCCTCTGGGGACCATGAATGGTAGTAGCAATGAGAGTCAAAGTCAATAGAATATATATTCATCTGTAGCAGATGTTAAGATATTTCAATTAATAAGGGAAAACTCTGACTTTTCCTCTAATGCCACAATAAGGTCTGGGGATCACCTACAACAGTAGAATTCATCCTCAGAGGACCATGAATATCTATACAAAATTTCACATCAACCCATATACTTGTCAAGATTTATCAGGCTGAACCAAAGCAGATTAACACTGTGCAACACCAGAAGCTAAATTAAAGCCACTTTAATGTTAGCTTACCACACTCCACAATTAGCTAGTTACATGGTTGAAGAACTATGATCTGCCAGAAATCTGATGCAACATGATAAAACAAGAAATAATTGTTACCATAGCATGAAGCTTATATAATTTAATTACATTTAATTCAATGTTCTTGTCAATCCACACAAGGCAAATGGCAGCTGAAATGAATCACAGATCGGGGGGGTGAATGTGAGTGTGAATGGTAGTCTGTCTCTATGTGTCAGCCCTGTGATAGTCTGGCGATCTGTCCAGGGTGTACCCTGCCTCTCGCCCAATGTCAGCAGGGATAGGCTCCAGCTCCCCCCCGCAACCCTCAAGAGGATAAGCGGTTACCGAAATGAATGAATGAATGATCTGAGGGGGTAGTGCAGGGTCAGCCATAGTATGGCACCCTTGGAACAGTTTTGGGGTTCAGTTCCTTGATAAACACACCTCAGCAGTGCCCAAGAGGCGAACATGCACTTCCCCAGTTGCCAGTATACACTTGACTTGAACTGGCGATCCTTCTGAAAATACTACCTTACAATATTCACCTAGAATACCCTGCATGATTCACTTTCCCAACTGCATGTGATCATCAGTTGGGCATGATAAAATCTGTAACACCCCTGCCGTCATCCTAATGGAACAATCTGTAGTATATCATATGGGTTTTGGATTGACCATTTATGATTATCTGTGCAAGTGCACTGGGTAGAATTCAAGGTGTGTCCAGGTGCGCACATTTTGTACATTTCAAAGGCAAACTGCATGCAGAAGTGCGTGCACAAAGTTTTATAAATCGAATTAGTTTTTAACTGTTCTTTTGTAACTTTTGGTTTGGATCTTATAAGATTTAAAGCTAGAACCTCCCATGTGGTCTTGAGTCCTGTGAGTTGATCAGTGTGGAAATGTTTTGGACTTTAATTTATTCAATTTTTATATTCAAACTCATAATAGCAGAAACAGTATAGACCAGGTAAGATATGAAACAATGACACCTTTCCATGCATTCAATACAGCGGATAGGCCAAATAATGTAACACTCATGAAAAGTGGTGTAAACTTATCAGCAAGTTATTGCCCCTCCATGCTCCCAGGCATCAGTGCCAGGAACACACAAAGAATCAGGATCATACATTTTCCATTCACCATCACCCTTGCCAAGAACACTTGTCTGTATGTATCAGTCAGAGCTTGAAATTGAATTTGCATCCTAAAATATATAAATATTTTGCCAAAAAATGCATGAGTAAGCCTTACTTACAAATAAATATTCAATGTGCAGACAGAGTTCAGGCTAGGCCTTAAAAGGAGCGATACTGCAGACTGTATGTGGTTAGAGAGGACTGACCTGGTCACCATCATAAAGCGTCTGTAGAGGACTCCTTCTTGACTTCTGCCCACTGCTTCTTTCACCAGCAGGCTCTGAGGCTGAGGAAACACAACACATCTGCCATGAAATCCTAAGTTAGGCAACAATCAGACTTAACATAATGAAATAGCCTATTATAGTACTTTATGAAATAACAACACTTCTACATTCAGCTAAACAATGTGGTCCACAAAAAAGACAATAAGTAAAAGAATAGAAGAGAAGTTGGAATATGAGAAAATAAATAAACATTGACTTTTACACAAAACTGTAAACAGAGTTCTTTGGATAAAAATGAAATAAAAATAGATATAATAAAAAGTAATGTCATAAATACAAATAATAAATAGTTACAATAATAAATAATACAAAGTATCAATTAAACACTAGGAAACAGTAGATGTTAAACAGCAGAAACCCTACAGAGCAAACTGTAGTAACACAGAGAATAAAACATTTTGCATGGGAACAATACTGGGAATTTTATTGGTTTATTATTGCCATGGTTGTATCTGCTCCAGTGCTCTTGTAATGGTAGATTAAAAAGGTTTTGGCTGTTCAGACCCTTTCAATTTAGAGTCCAATTAATTTTCTATATTTAAAACGTTACTCTCGTCAGAATCTGTGTGTTAATGAGAAGCAGAGAGGGAAGTCACAGGACTGAGATAAAGCTTGGGTACGTTGAGAAGCTTTACTGGATGAGCTTTCACACCAGCATTAGGTTACACAGCGTCACAGGGTCAGAGTCACAGTGCATAGTTTCACTGGCTGAACCTGAAGTTCATTTGGGCGAACATAGTGTGGCATAATGTGGCACTGCAGCTTTGTGATCTAATGCAGTGGAAACTTTAACCTACTGGAGTAAGATTCACCATAGCTTGAAACAAAATATGACATGAGACGTCTGAAAGGTTGGTTTCTACAGTACCTTAAGTTTTTAAATTGCTTTCCATGTGATGAAGGTTTGTGGCGGTCATGTTCAAATTTTGTTTGCTTTCAAACAACAGAACAGAGTAAAAAAAAATGGCTTCTGCATTTAGTTTTATATAAAAGAAATAGGTAATTCACAATTTTGGGACATATGCTAATTGCTTTTTTACCAAGGGTTACATGAGAAGATCAATTTACATCTGTACATTAAATATGGAGGAACAGCCAAGAGATGTTAGCTTAGCTTAGCTCAAAGACTGGAAACGGGGAAACAGCTCGCCAGGCCCTGTCCAAATAACAAAATGCCTAAGAGCACTGATAATGCTTATGAGTTATCACATTAAACATTAGTTTGATTCACATATAATCTGAAGTTTCCAGTTGTTATGCTAAGCTAATACGCATTTAGCTGCACTGTTGCTCTATATACTGTATTTAAATGTGAATAAGGTATTTCCATCAAATTCTTCCCCTATCACATGCTATTTGCTAAGATGTAAGACAGGTTAGCTTACATTATTAGTCAAAAGATGGAGACTGCTTGACTTATCTCACCAACTTCTTTCAGTTGTTTGCTTATTGTACAGAGACTGATGGTAATACCATATTAATTATGTGACCAAGATGCAAAAACCTGCAGTTATTAATCACTTTACACATACTACAGCTTGTCTCCAGTCATGAAGTTTTACTGTTGGTAGGGCTTGGTGTCATTTAAAAAAATACAATACCACTACCAATAACAGTACCTTTAAAGTTATACCAGTACCAATTTACCTTATTCAATACCACTAGTTTGAATGGAGTGGTGTGTAGTTAAGACATACATTCAAACATTTTGATGGCATTTTGGTTCGCTTAACTGCCAACTTTGGCAAAACACCCCACTCAGCTGTTTAGGTTGTAGCTGCTGTAGCTGCGGCCAGCTGTGCACACACAGTGACTGGGCTTACATCGCAAGGCTAACATCAGCAGAGTCCAGAGTTTATTGGGACTGTTTAACAGCTTTGTTTGGATATTAGCCGCTGCTGTGTTAGCTTATGTGAACCTGGAAGACACTTAAGTAACAGTCTGCAGGCAGGAGAGCGTTTCTGGAGACAGCAGCAACAGAAAGTTTTCTGATCCAGCGCGAACTTCGTACAGTTCAGGATCAGAACCTTGACACAAAGGATTGATTGCAGGAAATGTCTGACTGGAGACGTTTTGATACTACTTGGTAATGGGTTATTTTGGCCGATACCTTATAAAATATCAAGTATCAATACCCAGCCCTACATATCGGTCCAGAGATTTAAACAATTCAACAAAAATAAAGCAAGAGAATTTATATTATAATGAAATGAACTGAAGGTTGCCTGATTTGTGTTTTCATATCTCAATTAAAACAGTACTTCTCAAATTGATGAAGTGGTGAGAGATAACCCAGTGAAAACAAGACACCTACTCAGGAAACTGAGTGACTCTGTGCTTCAGGTTTATTGCTGCCACCTATAATAAATTCAGTATAACTCAGTTGCCTACAATTCTTAGGAAATTCTTTCTTTGTTCTGTATTACTGAACAGAGGCAGTGCAGCCCATGCCAATCAAAGATTAACATGTGGCTTCTACACAGACAAGCAAAATGGCTGGCATGATATCCAGTTATTATCCTCAGTATTTGGTTTGGTGCATTAAAATCTTATGCTTTAGGCAAAATGCAAAGAAAGGAAAGACACAGAAGTTGCTGAGACATGCTTTGTCAATGCATAAATAGTAAAATGGAGGAATATTTGCAAACAGAGCCCTGAAGCTGTAAGCCGCTGAGTCAAGGAGCAAGAAATCTGTTTCAACTACTCATTTCACAGATCTTATGACTGTCATTCTGCAGTGTCGTCATTCAAACGTGTGTCAAAGTCTCACTGACTTCAGTATGTTTTTATTAATGCTTCCAAACAGCCTTTTTACATCAACCACATCCCTTCAGCATCGTATGCTGTCCTTAAGCTCCACAGATGCTTGCATGCAGATGACATTTGTCATCTGTATGCAACTGAATTTACAAGTACGTGGGACTTAATGCTAATTAGCGGTGTTCATTCAAGAGCCCAATCACATCCAGAGAATGATGCATTGACACACAATATTGAAACTACAGGAAGAGTCAGCTGCGTGACCATGTCTGTGTGTGTCTGCCGCTTTCCACACTGTGGTGTGATCGGCCAGTCATGTGTGCCAAGCAGCTTATGAGCTGTAAACCCACCGACACACTCACAGTCGAGACCTCCGATGAGACATGTGCAGTAATGAACGTGTAGTCATGGCCAAACTATGGAGGAATAAAGTAGATCTTATGAAATGTCTGACTGAGTTATATACTGTGGGCAACTCAAACTCCAACAGGAAAATGAATCCACACATCTTTGGTTCAAGAAATCTGGTGACGTAGTGACTATACTAACTAAGCCTTGTTTCCACCAAGAAGCTGTTACACATTACAACATTTATTTTTGCATTTCCATTCTCAAAAGTTATGGATGGTAATAGAAGCCTTCCATTTTGTAGCTTTTTTTTGTCTCCCCTCAGTTAAGGTACCTAGCACACTGATCTGATACTAGAATGGTTAGCTAGAGACACTGCAATCCACTGATTGGTCAAGAGAGAATTGTCAGTCTTGCTCTTAAAGTATTCAATGCACAAACCGGCTATTTTTAAATCGAACGCAACAGAGACACTAAACACTCTAGACTGTTCTTTTTTGTTGTAAAAATATCGCAGTGCAACCCTGTTCCTTGGACCATAAACGAGGTGCAGACGTTCCTCTGCATTGCCCATGAAGAGGAATTGTAGCAAGAGCTGGACAGAGCAGTGACACAACTATTTGGTAACAACTGAGCCTACATTTGAAAGTACTGTCTGCAGTGGAAACGCAAAACAGATCTAGGGTTTACGTACATGTCTGCACAGGTTATGTTCTTGTTCTAAGAGTACTATACTGTGTTAAGTGGAAACATGGCTAAGGCTATTGGGTGCTGAAGTAGCTGGCAAGCTAACGTGATACCAAGCCGGGCTAATGCTAGTTAATCACAGAAGTACCTGGGCTTCTCTCTTTTTTTCTCCCCCTTTTTTTCTTTTTCTTCTTCTCCTCCTCCCCCCAGGGCTTCTTGTATACTATTTTATTCAATAAAAAGTTACTGGAAATGGAAAATAAAGCTCCCCAATCGGTCAGTTGGCAACCAGGTCGGCTTAGCTCAGTCACTAACGGAATAATAGTCTAAGTTTACACAGTTAAATAAAAAGATGCATTTGTACCATTAACTCCTGTCATATAACTGTCCACAAACCACTGAGGAGCAATTTTTACATACAGAGATTAAATAACAGTAAATGCTGACACAAAGCTAATTAGCTATGATACCTTCCTCTTTTAGACTCTCTGGTTCTCTGTTCCCTCAAAGGTCAGTGCTGGTAGGATGGCTGGCTACTGAACCTACTGAAATTTGCAGGTTAAAGTTTACCAAACTCAATGTACATTAAAGCTTGCATAGTTTGTATCACCCCCACAAGCAAATTCAGGGGTCACTGTGATTCAATTCATACCAATGGCAGTTTCACTGGATGAAATGCTGGTGGGTCGAGGGCTTAATAATGCACAGTGTGAACATGATGCCAAATGATGCCTTATTAGTGGAATGAGCAGAGACAGAGATGCTGCTGCCAAAGAAAGGTTTTGTCCTCTGCCTTGAGCTACCAACGTGATGGGAGCATTCTGCTACAGTACACTGATTTATCTGACCTGTTTTCTCATCACATTAACACGTTCTTATGGAAACTGCCAGTGATTCAGGGACACGTTTCCAACATGACCACTCCCTAAGCCATCCTTCCTAAATGAAACACCCTTCAGCAGAGGTAACGTCTGAAATTATTTTGGAACTGACAAATACCTGGCAGACTGAGAGTGTTTCAGCAACAAGCTGAGATGGCACATTGACTGGGCTGAAAGAGTGCATTGTGTGTCATCACTCCCCTGCTAATGGCATTACTCAGCAAGAGAGGAAATTTACAATCCGCATTTTGTTATGAGGTATTCCACAAAGAGCCAGATGAAAATATCAGAGAATTAACTGCTTAATTTGATAAAGCTGAACT